AAAAAAAAAAAAAGCAAGAGCTTGCCACACAAGGTAAACCACAAACAACATGTGCAAGGGTAAGATATTCCAGGAGAATCATCTGGATTGGAAAGATGTGATCTCATAGTGGAGTTCTACAGTCCTGTGAGGAGAAAGCATGGGCCTCCAGTCCATCATGGAAAGAAGAATAGCCAAGATATTAAATATGGTATTTACTTTAACTTCCTCAAAAAAGAGCAAAGTGCAAATAAGACTGTGGGTTGTTTTCTTTTGTTTTTGTGTTTGGAGACAAGGGCTCACTCTGTTGCCCAGGCTGGAGTGCAGTGGCACAATCACAGCTCACTGCAGCCTTGAGCTCTTGGACTCAAGTGATCCTCTCACCTCAGCCTTCCAAGTAGCTTGGACTACTGGCATATGCCACCACCTATGACTAATTTTTTCTATTTTTTTGTAGACTCACTAAGTTGCCCAGGCTTATCTCAAACTCCTGGGCTCAAGGGATCCTCCTGCCTTGTTCTCCCAAAGTGCTGGGATTGCAGGCATGAGTCACAGTGCCTGGCAACTGTAGGTTGCTAACATTCCTGAAGACCACTTGCAAGCTTGATGAAGAACCGGCATGTTGGTTGGGATGTGTGATAACCAAGGAAACCATGGTGCAGAAGTGTGCCAGGGAGGGGTGGGGCAACCCAACTGGTAGTGTAAGAAAATCAGAGAAAAAGTAAATGAGGAAAGGGGCAAGTTTCAATTAGGGCAGAGAATAAAAGAGCATGTTCTGATCATCAAGACCACAGGAGAATATGTGAAGACACTGGCTCTACTAGTGCTACGTCCGCATGTATCACTGGTGTGCTTCACAGAACTGAGAGTGTGGAAAAGGAAGGAGGAAGGTGTCAGGGATCCAGATGATCAGGCAAGAAGGGCTGTGCAGAACCTTTATAAAATGATGGAAGGTGGTCCCAGCCCTAAGGAACCCAGATGAGCTTGTGGTAATCAGGAGCTAATGAAGGAAGGTAATGGTGCAGTTGACCCCAGCCTTAACCAGAGGTCTGAGTTACCACCAATAATGGTAGGTGTGCTCATTCACTGGATCCTACAAGAGCAACCTGTGCAGGTGGGTGGTATTCGAGTTTCTTCTTAACTGTCAAGAGCAGAACTCAGTCAGCCAACTGGCTAAGGGTATCTCACATCCTTCCCGTTCTTACTCCCTTAAAGGCATCCTCATGTTTAATTCATAGAATGTGAATTCCAGATGTGAATTCCAAACAAATTCATTTAAAATAATAAATATTTTAAAAAGAGAGATTGGGACAAGTCCAAATGAAACAATGTGAAAACACACAAAAAAAAGAGAGTAGAAGTATTTAGCTTTGAGCAGAAGATAAATTTAGGAATTGGATAGTCGATACTGAGACTAACAGGAAATGAGTGGCTGGGTGCGGTGGCTCATGCCTGTAATTTCAGCACTTTGGAAAGCTGAAGTGGGAGGATCACCTGAGGTCAGGAGTTCGAGATCAGCCTGGCCAACATGGTGAAATCCCATCTCTATTAAAATACAAAAATTAGCCAGGAATGGTAATGTATGCCTGTAATCTCAGCTACTACTCAAGAGGCTGAAGTGGGACAATTGCTTGAGCTCAGGAGGTGGAGGTTGCAGTAAGCTGAGATCAAGCCACTGCACTCCAGCCTGGGTGACAGAGTAAGACTCCATCTCAAAAAAGAAAAAAAAAAGAAAAGAAAAGAAAAATGGAAATGAGTAACAGTTTCAGGCTGTGTATTAATTAGTCTCCGCTTCATGGTGATTTGAAAACTCAAATTCTCTTGCAGATCTGCTGGCAATTCACTTTGCCAATCTCTATTACAAATGTGGCCTTTCCATGGGTTACCTGAACTTGTTTGAAGTACTGCTTGGAGTCACCTATTTTAAAGTAGAGTCATAATGTAGAAGTCCCTGCAGGAGATTCTTTTAAAGGTTTCTCTTATAAATCAGCATACTTACATGTCTATGATTTTCTTTTTCTCATCTAAGAATGTTTACTTCTAGCCCATTTCTATACCTTGAAAATGGGTGAAGAGGACTTAATGACTTCTGTTTTTCCAAGAAGTCACAGTGCACATCTCCAAGGCCCCTAGCAGCTTGCTGCACATGGCTTCTAGGGTTGATAATGAGAGTCATCTATCTATATTTGGATCACAACACTTGAACATTAAAACGACCCATGTGGGCCTGTGATCCACAGGCAGATCAACCTGTCCTTGACTTCAAGGCAATTGGTAGCTGAGATTCATGGTTGCTGACTCATAGAAAGGGCTTGTAGATGGACACTGGCTAATGACCACTTGGTCTCAAGGACACAAGGCCCCAGCCCCAGCAGAGAAAACATGTTTTAGGGCTGTTTTCTTAATGAATTAATTGGTTTTATCGTATAGCATTTTATGATTTTTTTTTCAGACAGGTATGTTCTGTGGATCTCTCAGATATCAGCAACACCCAGCCCATCACCCAACCCATTAATTTTAGGGAGGAAAGATAAGGGTTAGAAGCCTGACAGCCTTTATGTTAATCACAGTGTTCCCAATGAAAGCGATGTGTCCTCCTCATA